TTAAAGCAAAGAAGTGGAAGATTCTTGAATGGCCAAGTCAGTCACCTGATCTCAACCCAGTGGAGCATTTCACTTGTTAAAGACTAAACTTCAGACAGAAAGGYCCACAAACAAACAGCAACTGAAAACCGTCACAGTGAAGGCCTGGCAGAGCATTAAAAAGGAGGAAACACAGTGTCTGGTGACGTCCATGAGTTCAAGACTTCAGGCAGTCATTGACAACAAAGACTTTTCAACCAAGTACTAGAAATGAACATTTTATACAACTATTTAATCTGTTCAATTACTTTTGATCCTCTGAAAATGAAGGGATTGTGTTTAAAATCTGCTTTAGTTCCTCACATTTTTATGCAATCATTTCATTCAACCCACTGAATTAAAGCTGAAAGTCTGAACTTCAACTGCATCTGAATTGTTTTGTTTAAAATACATTGTGGTAATATCTAGAACCAAATTTAGAAAAATGTTGTCTCTATCCAAATGCATGTGGACCTAACTGTAAATGCCTACTGAGAGGAGAGAAGTACCAAGCTGAAMGAGACAGCTGTAAATGAGTGAGCAAGCATATTGGCAACAGTGGAAAGGAAAAACTCCCTTTTAACAGGAAGAAACCTCCAGCAGAATAGGTTCATGACAGGCGGCCATCTGCCTCAACCGGCTGGGTTTGGGGAACAAGAAAGAGAGAGAGAGAAACACAGAAGGATTGGTCCAGGTGCACTTTCCTCTGGAAGAGAGACAACAGGAAAAATGGAAGAAAGTGGTCCGGGCAACATTTTAATTGTGGGGGGTTAAAAGACATACCCTGATCAAAAATACCACCAAGTTTCTTTACATTAGAACTGGAGGTCAGATTAATGCCATCTAGAGGAAGTGAAAGGTTGCAAAGTTTATTGATTGTTGTTCAAACCCAAAAACCACAATCTCTGTCTTATCTTCGTTTAGAAGCAGAAAATTGAGTCATCCAGGTTTTCATGTCTTTAAAACATGCTTGTAGTTTACGTACCGGTAACTGATTAGATTAATCAGGTTTCATGGATAATGGGCACAGTTCCCCAAAAGCACTAATGGGGGAAATAATTTCCTGATTAGTGCTTTAGGGCTTTTACTAATTTTAGAATTTATTAGTGGATTAGCACTTGATAAATTTAGATGCCCTAACTCAGGTCTTTAAATGTTATTGCTCAACATTACTGTTAACAGCTGAGGGTCAAAGCTGTCACACATTTTGTTCATATGTGTGTCGGTGACAATTTATTGACAATAAATGAACCCAAATAAGGATGTGGAATAAGGCTTAAGAGAGCAACATGACAATATGTGACTCATGTTGTCTGTTGAACAATGTTCTATGGGTCAACTCGGTTATTTTAGTGCTTTAGAATTATCTTTTCTTAAACTTTCAGTGTGTTGGTGCTTTAGAATTA